GAAATGCAAGCTCCAATAGAATGCATGCTCCAAGAGGACAGGGACATTGTCTCTTTTGTCTCTGGCTATCAGAAATGCTCAGTGAATACTTGTTGAATGAATGAAGAAATGAGTGAATGAACAAATGGTGGAAATTCAATATTTGATGAACAAATGGAGAAAGGGGTGTAAGGGATCTAAATGAGGATTTTCAGAGGAGTGAGGCATGATCAAGTTTGAGGACCATGGGCATGAAAAGAAAAAAAATACAGAGACTGTTAACAACGTTTTAAGAGTACATTTATTACCTATCCCTTCCCTCAGGCAAGGCTGGGAGTTGGTGATGGAGTGAGAAATCTCTTGCGGACATTGCTAGGAGAGAAATTCTGGGAGAGTTTCCTATTCTTTGTGGATATTTTCATGAGCTGTCTCCAGTACTCTGGCCAACAGGATCAGGAACTCCCTAAAGTCGACCTGTCCGTCACGATCAGCATCCAGCTCTTGGAATAGTTTATCAATGGCAGCTTTATCTTTGGTATTCTAGGAGAAAGGGATAGCACAGATTGTGAGCTGAGAACCTCCAAACAAGACCCTTCCCGTCCTTTCTCCAGACTGCCCATCCCTCGAAGATCAGCTAAGGGGAACTCAGGAACATTAATTCATTAGCCAAGACTGTGGGGGAGAACCTCATGTGAAGAAACAGAGGAAGGAGAAAAAGAACTATGGGGAACTATCCAGGAATCATACAAGACTCCACCTGGACGGTGCTCCAGAGGTCACCTAATCCAGCCCCTCCACTGCCTCTCTCCACCTCACATACGAGGAAACTGATTCCAGAGGAGAAGTACAAGCAGCCTAAGGTGATGGGTGAGCCATGGAGACAGGGAAGCAGAGCACCTGCCTGCAGCCATCAGAAAACATCCTGGGGGCTCTAACTGGGGCTACTCCCTCTCCTACTCCTTGTCCCACCGTCACCCTTCTAGCCTTGACACTGCCCTCAGTGCAGAAGTGTGGGGCAGCTTCACATGAGAGGGGGCATCACCTACCTTGAGGGTGTTTGGAAGTTCCTTTGTGATCAGCTGCTTCAGCTCACCCTTAGAGAGAGTGTCAAAATGCCCCACCCTCACAGAGTACCGGTGGAAGACATTAATAACGCCCTCCATGTAGTCTTCCAGCGTTGTTGACATCTTTCCGACCTCGAGTTGACCTGTGAGGAGAGTCAGGAGCTCCAGCCTTGCCCTCCACCCTACATGCACTTAGTCTTCTCTTTCTGCATCAAGGGTTTAGAGAAAGGCATGTCTTCCCCCGATCTGTATTGTACTATCTTGACTCTGTGTCTGACCCATGCTGAATTTTTCACTTATAGATAGGATGGGGAAGAGAAAGATATGTAATACCAACTAAAATCTAAAAGAATCAGCCTGGGTGGCCCACAGTGTTTCATGCCACCCCATTCACGAAGGAGGATTATCCTTAGGGTGTTGCTCACTCATGCTAACCTGGGAAGAGCTCTGTGGTGCATCAGGCTCTTCATAATCCCAGGTGATGGTCTCTGTGCCACACCTCTTACAAACCTTCACCATCACACCCCACCTTAAAACAAAAAGATCAAACCCGATGCCGACGAGTGGACTCCAACTCATAG